GATGCAGACATTTTCTTTTGCCATTTCTTATCTCACGACTGAAATGCAAGTTGAAAAACGTACTTATGCATACATTAGTGTTTTATTATCATTAATAATAATATTTATATGCATAAAATGTAATAACGTACAGTAAGTGAAAATCTTTTATGTATAAACATAATAAAATACGCAACAACATGACATACCGTTACTTTTTTTCTCACACAATATGTAGAAATTTGTGCAACATTGTTTCCGGCTATTAATTTTTATTCTCATAAGGCTTTTCCAAGGAAATTATTTCAATTTTGTTTTTTTTTCATACATTTGCATACCAATTAAAATATTTTCTTAAAAATTTATCGGTGGGGAAATCTGGCCCATAATGGGCCATATTTTCCGTTATTTCATTGCTTTTTCATTTTCATTTTGTTTGATTTTATTTGGAACAGCAATTGTGTAATAAATAATCGCGATGCCACACACACCGATCTTTTGTTCTAATATAAAACAATAGAGAAAAAGCATTTAAGCTCATACCACCATAATCCAGTTAATTAAAGAAGTGTAGGCCACCGGTTTTGTAATACATTGTATCACATTTAGAAATTCCCATCGATTTTCAAGATAAATGATTGTCTTCTCCCGTTTGGATCGCTTAACATTCCACATTTATTCATATAGCTCACATTGAATTCCATTTATTGTACGTATATTTAATTGTGTGGGCAGAAAACAGTTACGCAAGCGAGTGCGTCTTGAATTGTTCAATTGCTACATGCAATGAATAATCATAAAAGTTGAGGAAATTCGAATTTATATGCAGTTTTGCACCTTCACTGACGTTACAGACTCACTAATAAACCAAGTTTATTAAAATTAGACACTTATGATAATTTTAATAACTCGCATTTGAATTTTTCCAAAATTGTTTCTCATCTAGTCAACAGATGTTATGTAACACTGGATTTTGCCATAAAATGGCTTATGGCCGAGCAGATGACATCCGAGGTGCGAAAGTAAATTCATTTTTTTTCGCCCCAATTAAGACAGCTGGTTTTCGCGACGTTTTTTATACAACTCATTAAAAAAAAATATTAGAAAAAAATCGGAAAAACAACGTTCTCACAGTTTCTGTTCAGAACTTAGGCAATTTCTTGCTACAGCCCTGTTAATTACCGATTTAATTAATACGCTGCTATCACGCATGAGTAAAACGAGTTCTTTTGCATATTATTTAGCCGTTTGATTTGAATTTGATTTAACTTGGTTTCTACAAACCTACTTAATCGACACTTATAAGCATTACATGACACAGTAACATTAAAAATAAACATTTTCATAAAAATTAATGGTAATTGCTCCGGGACTTGGCTCACGTAGGTTTAATTAAGGTGACACCACGCCAATGACCTGAAAGGCAATTTTTTCAAAAAATCGTCATTTAAAAATCACACCTGGCAATATAAACAACACTAGATTGGTTATTAATTACTTTATTGCTGTCATTAGTCATTCATTTTCCGGAATATTAATTTTGCAAAATTTCAAAAATGTCGCATTACTAATTGAAATGTATCCGGTGCTGGGAGCAGAACAGTGTTAATTAATTATCAGCGATTAATTAATACTTACAATTGCGCGAATTGGCGCAAAAACGGTTCCCGACCTATTTAATTGATTTGAGTAATTGAGTAATTCACCTTCTCAGTAATGATGCGATTAGCATAATTACAGTAGGAAAATGCAAATCCGAATTTGTTTTAAAGACATAATTACAGAAACAGAAACGATTTCAATTACGATTGTCTCGGAATTTTTAGCTCGTGCTGACTACACTAATAAATAATTTGGTGTGCCTACGCGAAATTAATTAATTCGTAATAATTTAAGATTTATGAGCTGGTCAAATACCGTCACGTTCCTCAATATTTGTTTCGCCACACGAGAATTCCAGGTCATATTGGTTGAGCTGAAATTTTATTGTGTGCGCACTTTTCGCTGAAATTCTTCGCGGTAACGTTCGTGCCAGGTAAATTATGGGGGCCCCCGACTGTCAGATAGGAATGATCGAAATTAACAGTTAACTGAAGGTTGTTATTAATTTTGTCATATTGGGAATTGCGCACATCTTAATGACCCACGATAACTCGGACTAATCCCTGGTAGCACATTGGGGAATTATATTGAGGTTATATAACAGCAATACACGAACCTAACCATGGTTATGTTTGATTCAGCTTATATAACGTTTATATAACCATGGTTAGATTTGGCGTATGTAGGTACATACTTAGCAAAGGTTACACATAGTATAACAGATATCATATCTAATCGAGTATCTATCTAATCGTTATCTTTCTTGTGCAATATGGCGTATGTTAGATTTAGCTTATATATCGGTTATTTAACCATGATTATGTCTGAGGTAATTAGCAAGGGTTATATGACGTATACATAACCGTTATGTTTGTTACACAATATAACGTATATTTCATTAAACTTATATATTGTTTGTAACCATGGTTATGTTTGGCATATGTAGCAACGGTTTTATAACGAATATATAAAACGCCATGCATCATTCCATAAAAACTGAAAAAAGGCAACAAAAAATGTAACGTAAATGTAATATTAATTTGTAATACATTTTATGAGCTACAAAATGTATTAAGTAATAAATCTTATGCCGAAAGTTATATTTATATAAATATAAGAATGGTTATATAAGTGCAATATAACCACGAGTATATAAAAGTTAGATAACGAAATATCGAGCGATCAAGATAATTTGTAATCGAGTCATTTTTGAATCCGAAAACGTATGTCTGTGATACGTCAAATAAAATGACAAGCAGAAAAGTAAAATGGTATGATCAAAAGATGACGATTTTAATAACTAAATTTAAATAAATTTATACGCCAGCGACTAATTCCAGCCCATTTTGCCATTTCACAGACATACGTTTTCGGATTCAAAGATGACTCTATTACAAATTATCTTGATCGCTCGATATAACTGTAATGTAAGCGGTACAAGGTAGATTATACAGAGTGCGCCAGAGCTGGCACCTCAGAGAAAAATGCCATCCATGTAAGGTAAGATACCAGAAAACGGAAAAAATGTTAAAAAATTCTATCTATAAAAATTTCGAAGTTATGAGAGTTAAAATTTTGCACGTTGAGTCTATTTATTTCTCTTGAAAAAATAATTTTCCAAGTTTTTCTGTTACAGGCTATTAGAAGAGGAAACAAGAAACCTGTATCCTAAACTGTAGCTCTGTTTGATGTTATATTTTTGGCTTTTATTGGCAAAATTTTGTATACCTTTACTAAATTCTGACACACCCTGTATAACCAAAACATAACCTCGCGTATATAAAGCAACATAAGCGAGATATTAGGGCGGTTATATAACCGAAATATAACCATGCATATATTTTGGTTATACCTTTCTGTCCGACCCTAACTCTGGTTATATACAGACGTACATTTTTGAGCCACCGGTTATATTATGTGGTTATATAACTATTATTTATTTGTGCTACTATGGATACATCATTCCGGTCTTTAATAGAAGTAACAAATGAAGTCGTAAAAATCGAAAAAATAAATGTCGGAGAGTTCAAGTTGTCCAAGGAGAGTAAGAAAATAAAAATCGTTTTTTTAGCAATTTTACCAATTATATTGCTCAACTCCCAATAATTACGAAATGACAGAAAAGACTTAATTATTTAATTTGCTTGTTAAGTGAAGGTTTTCAGTTTTCGTTTTCGTAATTGGTGTCCTGTATTTTTGTTGAGTGAAAAGTGAGATTTTAATTACGATTAAATTTCAATCATCTTTGAAGGTTTCGTCCTTTCTGCGAGTGATTTGAATGCGAGGTCATTGTCGAAAAAGTGATTTTTTCTCCGTATTTGTGTCTGTTTTGCGAAAAAATGCGTCTGGTTTGAGTCGGACAATGCAGTTGCGTGCAAATAGTCCAACGTCCTTGAATTTTTTTTCTCCATTCTGCGTGATTTCGATGCCTTGCAGGACCACGAAGAAGACATCTTCAGAGTCGTATTTTACGAGCGTGTTTTACGATTAAAGTTTCAATGTTTTATTGGTACTTTTTGGGCAAATATAATAATCCGTTAGTTTATTTTATTGTGTCGTAAACGTCGGAGGAGTTTTATATCAACACTTGCAATGCTTGGAAGATTAGCTCTTCATTATTGAAAAACCGATGATAAAACTAACTGTATGCGAAATAATATGTTTATTTAGCGATGCATCAACATCTGCTGCATGGAGATAAAATTCTTTAGAAAATTCACTTTCAATGGAAATGGAAACGTTCCGTTGCGGTGACGATTTACTAAAATGTTCGATCAACTGTTACTATTTTATTTGTCAGTCAATTTGTTCGAAGAAATCAACCACGTCCAAATTTTGAAAAATCTCCTCCTTTGTGTGGTTTTCCACTTGAACAAGCAGTTGCCATTATTCGGAATCGGCGGGAGGAAATCATAAGCGATTTTTCGGTCAATTAGCGGAAACGGTGATGAATAACAGACTTCCTCCATGGGAAGTAACACACGCTGAAATAATCACGTTTCTCTATATTGTCAAGAGGCCATTTAATTTCTGTTAGACCGGAAATGACAGTTGCACCATGAACCTAGAAGCAGGTGGATTGGGGTACACTTGTTACGCTTGGTAAATAATTAAAAAACGAACGATAAACTCAGAGATATCAACGGTGCGTTAGAACACATCGCCTGAAAAATGAGAAGATGCTCCTTTAACGGATTTATAATAATGGATTTCCGTTTCCGTCCGACATGAAGATCCGTTGAGGATCGAGATGTAACATCACCTTACGTAATGACATTATACGCAATTTTTGAAACAATGCGATGTGTTAACCGGATTCAGTGAAAGGATTTTTGGCCCGAAAAACTAAGACTTTTTTCAGGGTTAGTCAAACTTTTTTTTGGAAACTAAAATACTTGTTTGAAAATTATCGGACTTACCGGAAAAAATCGCTGCACAAAGTTTTATAGATAAATCCACATGTCAGAGCGCTCAAAAAGACAGCAAATCTCTATAACACTCACTACAACAGTCGGTCAAAGACTGGTGGGTGAACCATGGATGACTGAAAGAGCGTTCAATGAAAGCTCTCCCCACTTGAAGTCTGCATAGACAGCGTAGAACATCTAATACTACTAATTATGCATGCTGAAACATTACCTATCTTTTGTATTGTCTTGCTTTTTGACAGGAAACTTGCGACAGCATGTAATGAGTCACCAAAAAACGAGGACAAGTACTCCAATAATTAGCCTAAGACTAGTTTTTGTGCGTTTCCAGATTTTGCATTTTCTGTGGCCGAAAGCTCGATGCAAAAAAGCTAATCGTTTCAAGGTTACGAGCTGCCAGAAATTAGACCACTATCAGTGGTCTGGCTGATAAAAGTGACACTAGTAAATTTTTCAAATTTAATTAGGAATAAATTGAGAAAATTAAAATAAATAAATTTATTGATATTCTCATGCAATTTGTTCGCCGATAATTTGCGAACTAGTTAATTGCAACTCATTGGAATAAATAGATACAAGTTATTTCATATTCACAACTATTAACAACATAAATTTCATAAATGTTGGCACAACTGCATTAAATAATGATTACTGATTAGTGATTGCTTGTAATAATGTTAGAAGAAAAAGTTATAAACCTGACAACTGAAACGGAACAAATTGATTGGTTAATTATCTGAAAAAATCCACCCACTAAAAGTTTCAGCATGATTGAACCGGTGACAAAATTTTTGCAATTTCATTTAAAATTACAGTTACCTGAATTATTGTTTTATTCAAGAGAAAAAGATAAAATATAGGAACATTAAACCGCACTTGATATCCTTATGTTCAATATTGTATTCAAGCTTTCATTTTGTGTGATTTACAACGCAATAAATTCTGAATTTATCAACAAATTAAACCGCATTAAATAATTTCTTTGTGTCAGATGCATTCTGCAGATGTTGCACTGTTAGAATAATCGTTAAGTGTGCCAAATGTATAAAAAATTGATTATTAAAAGAAGTTTATAGTTTGCTTGTTGGCACTCCTCTCAGCTTTGTTTTATTTTTTTATAGCTCTGGTTTGCATAAACTCAACAAATTTCAGTTTTTTTGAATTACAAATCCGYGACAAGGATGTGATTAGAATATTTTGCACCTATTTTACAAAAAATCGGCGTTAACCGCTAATGTGTCATACCCTGTCAGTGCAATTATTAATTGCTCTGGTTAATTAATTGAATTAATTGAGCGATTTTCATGACATTTAAACGGAAGCTGAAAAACACTTCACTTATTTATCGTATGGCTGGAATAACCAGAAAGAATTCCGGTTAATTGAATTTTGTGAAAATAACGTGATGCATTCGCTGCACTTTAAGGCAGGGTTATCGGTGAAAATTTGCATTTTTATGACGGCTGTTGTTATGAGTTGTTTCTTCTCGAGTCACGACCTCTTTATTTAGGTTTTGCGGCTCATTATTTCATTCGGTTCATTTCCGTGTTGGGCGATTTGTTCTATACGTTGGCGGAATTGTTATTTTCAATCTTTTATGGTGAAAATTTGGGATTTGCGTAGGTCATGGCTAATGAGGAGTTTGAGGTGAAGGCCAATTGCCAGACAAGCTAATAAATAAGCTGGCTTGGTGATGCAAAATTTTGGATCTATCTCGTTTTTAGTGGGAGTTTATTCAACCCAATTTATGTTATTTATTTATTTATTATTTCGGACTGTTGTAAATACCAAGTTCCGTTGTGTTCCACCCACTTGTGACCAAAATACTGTTTTATTACTTTTCCCAGTACGAACATCTGGAGTATTATTTATCAACACTTGGAAATTACTTTCCTCATGTTTAATAATTATTGAAAAAATATCCTTGATTTATCRCGACTTTGTTTGCAAATGCGGCATTTATTTGATTTTTTTCAAAATGTTGAATTGTAAGACTTGACACATTCTTGGTGAGTGTATTTTGTGCCAGTTAATCATAATATGACATTTATTAAATATTTAAAACGGGTTTCATAACTGCGAGAAAAATTTTAATTAAAACATAACTAGCTGAGAACTTCCTATTTGTTTATCATTCAGCTCGTCATGATCGTTGATAATCTAATCAAACGAATCGTCTAATAAATATGGATATTTACGGTCCWTATTTTCCGTAAATGGCACAGATTTCAGTTTTTTTCCCGTCTTGAAAAGGAAATCATTTTACCGCAATATTGTAGTAATGATCTTGCGGTTTATCATGTTTCTTTGATTCCGTCCCACTAAAACTACCATAATTTATTTATTGAGTAACATCATGACTTATAATCCTCAATTAAAATAGTAAAAAGCTGTATTATTTGCTCTTTTTTGCTCTTACTTGCTCAAAAAGCTCTTCATTAGCAAATACCTTTTGCTCATCAAATGTCAACATTTAATTACCCGAGTGATGTCATTGGAAATGATTAATTTCGCCGATTAGCTAACCGGATCTTTCACCACCCGAAGGGGGCACTTTTAGGCAACTAATAGTACAGAAATTCTGTCATTTCCTGAAGCTGGTTCAAATTTAAGAATTTTGCGGTTATCATCAAGATAATTAAGTTGAAACAAGATGAATGGCATTTGCAAATTACATGGATCTCGAGTCGGAAATGACGAAAATTCCATTCGGATTTATTTGCTTTTCCAATAAAATTTGCATTCAATGGGTTACAACTGTCATTGCTAAGCAGTGACTTCATCGTTTTTATACCTAGGTTATTGTGATGGATTTTTAGGGTCCCTTTTGTGTGGGTTTGGAGTCACGGCGAATTTATGCGCTAGTAATTAACGATTTTTATTTATTTTGATTCACTAACTCTTACAGATTTTTTTTATTTTATACAAAATGAAGATAGGAAGAATTCTTATAGGTA